TGTAAACATCTATATTATATGAAGATATAATGTGTTGTATAACAATGCGGTATATGAGCTAATAGAGAAAAATGCATAGATCTATTCAGAGTGGGCAGACACCAACGGCTCTAATATAATATATATATTAATCATTTAATCCTAACAAGGCAATAAAGCCATTAAGACGCGAGGGTTACTGAATGTAAGAGAATATAAGAAAAATATTGAGGAGAGGAAACGATAGAACGGGAATTAAAACAGAAAATAACGAAATAAATACAAAAAAAACTCTTTCTGGTCTTTGGTCGTCGGATCTGATATGGTGATTTAATTTATTGTCCCTGTTATCCTAAAAAATCCCAATGCATTTTCCTTACATACAGTTTTGTCTTTCATACCAGCCTGAAGAAGTCGAACCTAACACACGTTATATTGGCGCAACGCGTCATTTTTCTCATTATCTCCAAATTTTGATTTGGCCACATCTTACATGGCATATGGTGAAGTGATTATAACGTTCACTTTCCGACAATAAGACCTGGGTTCGAATCTCACCATGGGCGATTTGTCAGGAAAGCGACTTCTTGATGCTATCGGTCTGTAGAGGCGATTTCAGCTGGCGGCACCTTTTGGGAAATTCCTGAAAACCAGACCACGGGTTAAGCCAAGTCTTGTGAGTGAAATTAGGTGTTAATAGTTGTACTAGCACAAAGTCACAAGTCATCGTGACCGAGTGTTTGAGCGTACTGGTTTTGTTCAGACAGTTGATCACGCCAGATAATGCACTCTCTCCCATAAACTGAAACTAAGGTACGTTCAGTATAGATGCAGTATAAGCCACAGGTGGGCTCTGTGGGTGTTGAACAAGCACAAATATGCCTGAGCAGGTGTCTACCACAGGGATTGGCAGACCAATCTACTAGACAGGCATATTCAGATACGAGCAGCTATCCATTATATACATCATACACCCCCCTATATATATATATATATATATATATATACTTACCCCATGTTTTCGTTATGAATGTTTTTTTAAAACGTCTGATTTCATTGTTCTAATAACATTTTGTTCCCATGTGAAAATATATTTATGTATATGTTTTACTCGTGTTTATTTGCAATATATACTTACTTGCTTTATTTATTTTCGTTTACAGGCTTGAATATTCGAAAAATCTTATTAAAGAAAAATTTGTGCCTTCCGGCAGGATTCGAACCTGCGTCACTTTTTCTGAAGGAATCGTCGTTAGATTCGACGTGCTCTAACCGACTGAGCTAACGAGAACTTAGCCAGTGGGGAAAGGTTGAAATAGTGTCTCGTCATAAACCTCTCGAAATTTTTCATATCCGCTCAATTTTGTATGCCAACAAAAAGCCATTTAAGTCAATTGAGAGCATGTCGAAACTAACGACAGTTTCCACTGCCAAGGGGGACGCAGGTTCGATTTCTGTTGGAAAATAAATATTTTTCTTTAAAAAGTTTTCTCGAATATTCAGACCGGTAGACGAAAATAAATAAAAAAAATATATTTAATAAATAAACGGAGCGTTTACTAAAATACGAGTATCGATTAAAAATAACGTTTCAATTGATAAAATTGTCGGATAAATAAAACTCCATTACTCGTTTAGAATATATATATATATATATATATATATATATATATATATATAAGTGAAAGAAATATGGATATATTAATAAGTCTATAGACGAATGACGAAAAAGGCATATATTTTGCATGACTATGATTTATTTCTATACAATGTCCTTTGTCAATGCACTTAATTTAGTGGTGAATATTAGCCACATACGAGAGTGGACTGAAAACTTCATAGGCTGACTATGAAGGAGTGATGCTAGAGCTGAGAAATCTTGCAGGCATTCATTTTAACTCTTCTTATCAATAAATGCATTGTTCCTTTCCAGATCAACTGACATCTAACTGTTAAAAGAAGACTTCAAAAGCAACTATTAGCGACTTCTCTTGAAAACAGACAAAGATTTGGCATTGTTGTATTATCAAGTACCTACAGAAAAAAGGTTTTAGCCACCAAGGACATTCATGTTGACATGGTTGCTACATTAGGGGATGACGCTGCAGCTTTATCAACAGTGCAAAAGTGGGCAGCTGAATTTAGTAAAGGAAGGGAGTGTCTTGAAGATGACACAAGGTCTGGATGTTCTGCGATTGCCATCACCGAGGAAGACATTGATAGTGTTCACTACATGTTGATGGATGACAGGCGATTGACTATAAATCAAATAGACAATGTTATTATCATATCCTGTGAAAGAACTGGAAAGATTCTGCACAATGAACGTTTCTACTGGGGGGGGGGGGGCATATCTTCTGATACTTGATCAAAAGTGCGCCAGTCTTATTACATTATGAGAAAATCTGACATTGTTTCAGGCAGATCCAGCTGACTTCTTTGAACGTTTCATAACCCAGGATAATTATTGGGGGTCATCACTTTGAGTCAGAGATAATCCATGCAGTGGAAATACCACCCCTCTTCTGTTCCAAAGAAGACCAAGGTTGTTTCATCTGCAGGGAAGATGATGGCCTCGGTTTTTTAGAATGCAAAATATTTACCTTTATAAGGGTCACAGCATCAATGGAGAGTACTATGCCAACTTGCTGAAGCTGTTACAAAAGGCTATCAAGATCAAAATACTCTGGAAAACTGACGAAAGGGGTCTTGTCTCACGAGGAAACTGCTCCAGCAAACAAGTCCTTGGTTTTAGTGGCTGGTGTGTGTGACTGTGGCTTTCAACTGGATTATCACTCTCCCTATTCTCCTGATTTGATTATCATCTGTTCTCCAACATAAAAAAAAAACATTTGGTTAGGAACCAGTATTGCAGTGATGATGATTTCATTTCTGCTGATGATGGCTTTTTTTAACAACAGAATAAACCATTTTTTGAACAGTCAGATGTCAGTTTACCTGTAATGAAATAATGCAGTTTTTAATAAGAAGAGTTGAAATTAATGCAAGCAAGATTTCACAGTTATGGCATCACTCCATCATTGTCAGGTGACGAGATTTTAAACTCACCTTTGTATATTCAACTGTACAGAATAAAAATTTCAGCTCAAAAATCAGAAAATCTCTCAAACTCATATATATGTGTGCGTATACAATATATATATATATATATATATATATATATATATATATATATATATATATATATAAATTATTTATTTTAGGATATTAAAACAAAAACATGTTAAAAATCGCTACACAATTACAACCATTTGTTCTCATTTTATCTGGATATATATATTAACAATGTAGATACAGGTCAACACCAAATAGAGACAGTCTGTTTTATTCTTAAACGCAATCATATGCTTCTCCATGATTAAAATTGCTCAATTAAAACTGATATTTCTAATAAAAATTTCTTCAATCAGAAAACCAAACAATAAAAACACTAGTATAAGTATTTACTACATTTAGTCTGGTACAAGGCTATACAGGTGAAGCATTCAATACGATTTACATTCATTAGATTAGTAATATTCTGCCAAATGAGCTTGTTAACCCTTACTCTATGCCAAAGTTTTGATTGTACTTTACTAAGCTTTAGTCTGGATAAGGTCACCCATGAGCACACAGTGAAAATAAAATGCACTTGATTAGTAATGAGCTGAGTTGATAACCATTACTCGTTGGTGGGATGTCCAAATCCGAATTTATATTTTTATAAATATCTTTTCAGTTACTGAGAAATATATATATATATATATATATATATATATATATATATATATATATATATATATATAAAATAAATTAATAAACAAAATGACAATAAAATAAGTAAAATAAATTAACCCAAACAAATTACCAAATCACACCCGTAAAAATAGACGAAATGGAATAAATAAATAAAAAATAAAAAACAAAATCAATGAACCCAAATAAATAAAGTAAATAATAAACAAATTAACAAACCATTATGACCAAAATTTTAGTTAGACTATAACAATCAAACCAAGAATCGGATGAGAAACATAGCTATAACTGTTATATAACGATTAAAAAATACCACATTACTTACAAATCGAAAAGAGTAAATAAAAATATACAGTATAATAAATAAATAATAAAAAAACAAGTAAAATAAATTAATCCAAATAAATAAATAAACTAACAAACCGGTCCCGATAAATAAACCGTTAGCGAAAACAAGTAAAGATAATCAATCCAAATAAATAAATGAAGTAATAAACAAATTAAGAACTGCTCCTACCAAAATAATAGTTAGAATAAACTACAACAATCAACCCCAAAATTGAATAAATTGCTTTAATTATTTTCCCAAACCAAAACAAAACTATTAAATAAACGATATAAACAATTTTTTCTACGTTAATAAAACACCGATTAAAATAAAAATAAATAAATAAATATATAAGATAAGAAATAAAAATAAAAAATAATAAAAAAAAGCCAAATAATTTAACCCAAATAAATAAATAAATAAACAAATAAACGAGTTCCGGCAAAATAACCGCCAAAATAGACTACCCACAATGCACCACTAACGGTTATATATAAATAGCCGAGAAAAAAAAACTTTGTGGCCTGACCATTGCGTCTAGCATGAAACAGCCTGTCGCCTCTAAGTATTGATTACAATGTTCACCTTTATATATATATATATATATATATATATATATATATATATATATATATATTGAAATCAAACACTGTTTACGGCGAGACTGTTTCATGTTTAAAGGCAATCGATGGACCGACGGTTGCATTTAAGCATGAAACAGACTATCGCCGTTTGGTATTGACCTCAATTTTCACTTTTATATTTACATACGCTCTGTCGCTGATATTGAGCACTTTAACTCATAAATATAGCATACCTTGAAACTATATTTTTATCATATATATATATATATATATATATATATATATATTGGTATAAAAAAAAATAACCTAAAAAAAAAAAAGAAAGGGAAAAAGTAAGAAAACTTGTGAGGAGGTCATTCATCTCCTGAGATCAATTTTCCAATCACTTCATACAGCATCTGATTGCACATAGCTGCATAAGGGTTCAGCATGACGGTCATCTGACGTGCAAAGTCGTTGCCTAGGTTAGCTGCTTTTTGAAAGTCGTCGAGAGCACCTTTGTCGTCACCTGAAAACAAGAGTTGGGACGAGAAATAAATGATGACATAAATAAATAAAATATTGAAATTAAACAAAATGAACATCACCTATAAATAAATAAATGCGAATGTCATATGCTTTCAATTAAAGGGAGACGACCCTTTAATAACTCATCTTGTATATAATAAATGCGAATGTTAGTGTGTCACTGTGTCACTCCTTTTCAACTCTACTCTTAGAGGCCCTATCCAAACATATCATACCATTTTGGAATCAGGCCGACTTCGTCAGCAAATTCAAAAGAGTCCGGGTCAGATCCGGACCCACAATCCGAAAAATTTTGGATTCCCAAATTTTCATAAGTGCGATTGTTTTCGGTGTTTTTTTTTTCTTGATTTTTTGCGACGAATTTTTTGTACGATAACAATTTTTATGACTTGGAAATAAATTTGGGAATAATCTAAATCAATTGCCAAATCCAGCGAAAGTCACTCATGAAATAAAAATAATTATTTGTGTGGAAAGTAAGGACCTACGTACATCAAATTGTCTTTAAATTAAATGGCGACAGAAGAATTATCGTTGAACTTTTAAAAGGTAAGCTTAAATATTAATGCAATACTTAAATGCAGCGATCAGTTTTGACTGCTTTTGTAGTTTAATTTATTTAGTGAGCAAATATATTTTAGATATACTCTAGCAAGATAACCCGTCTTCGACCGGGTCTTTCATTACTGGGGAGTTTTGCCATTCAATTAAGCAGTTTAAGTTTAAAGTCAGCCCACCCGAAAATCAATATTAGTAACAACAATTGGGTGCAACTGAGGCACATCCCCAAATGGGACGTGAAGCTGAAAAGGGCCGTTTTTGCGTTCTCAATCTTCTTTCAGCCTCACGCGCAGCAGCAGTTGAAGAGGCGTTTCTCTTCAGCCGTTGAGTCCTTTGATCATCATTTTCAGCCTCCCGCGCAGAAGCGTTCGGATAAAAACTGTGGAAACGCATAGGCAATATTCGATCACACAGACACGCACATACAGACACACATTTTGAGAATTATAGATATAGATTACTGTAATAATTTAAACTATTTACTTTTATTAGAGTTTTTATGAAAGATATATATCCAAGAAGAGTTAGTAAATAGTAAAACGTTGCTGAGAGTTATAATGGGCAAGAAGTTGTGGAGAGCCATTGTCGCTAACAATTTGGACTCAAAACCGGCACTGAAGAATTATCTATCAAACAAAAAAAAATCATCGAAATAGGATGAAAACTGAAAACGCATAAACAACATTCGATGACACGCACATAAACACACATTTTGAGAATTATAGATATAGATACAAGATTTTTATAATAGATGCCCGATTTTTCATATTGTGGATGCTTCCTAGATGCCACATTTTTGTTTATTAAACAATGTGTATTGCATCTATTGGCCTACACATTCGAGAAATCTTAGTAAAGAAAATATGTTTCAGCTCGGCCGCAGAGAATGTTTTGGCTTTAAGTAACCCACAAATGGTTGATAAGCCATAAAAAACAAATCAATTAATCAATCCCTGATTTTGTCCGTGACTCTCACCTCTACATCTCTGACATTTTGTCACTCCCTAACGATTGGATTCCTTTTTTTTTAACCTGTGACGTTGCTTCTCTACATCTTGTCAGACGGCTGACATGACTTTACCTATATAATCTCATGATCTGAAATCCTTGCCTTCCAGCCATTATACTGCTATTATTTTAACAAAGTTCACTCCCTCGGCAATGTTTACAAGATTATAAATCATTATTTACGTTTTATAAAGATTTATTATTTACCATTTTATAAAAAAAAAACAAACGTGGAAAAAAAACTTTTATTCATTTTTTTTTTAAATTACAAAATTATCGTCAGAACTTCTCTTCCCAGCTGAAAACCGAACTTTCTTTCGAGGTTAGAAATGTATAACATTCATTCTTAAATTCACATAGAGGAAGTTTTTAATGAACAGTTCTTTGGGAAAGTTATTGATGGCTTGACGCTTTGATGAACTAAATGTATACATCTTTGTGTAAATTAATTGAAACAACAGCTTTAGTTTCCTTTCTTTCACCATACGGTCAGTTTTAGACCCACTGGAGTAACAGGGTGTAATCAATTTCTATTTTTTCCTCAGATTAGGTCATTTGCAACTGTGTGCAGTAATATGAATCTATTTTCGGGGTGTATAATGAAATTTGTTTGGACTTGAAAAATATTGCGTCATCTGTAATTGCATCAAATTTTCATCACACCCAAGCATTATTGTCTCGTCTGTCGATTAGTTGTCCTACAGCCGTTATCTGCGATGGAAGTGCACGAAAATTATAACGTGGTAAGCCTTACAAGTGAGTAAATCAAAGTACTATAGACTGGCCCGGAAACTCCCCTGATTTAAATCCAATCGATAATCTGTGGTCAATCTGCAAGGAACGACTTCGTGGAAAGGACTGACAAAGTACTAACATGTGCACTGGGTCATGTTTCTATTGGAAAAATACGGAAAAAAGTAAATAATAACGGAATTATTATTTTTAATTTCAATTAATTTGCACAAGAGTGTAGAAGCTGGGTGACAGGAATATTTTGATTGAATAGTTTTTTCCTAAGATTTTTTCTAGATTATTTTGTTTTACTTCATAATTTTACATTGAACAACCTGCAAGTGTTAAGGAGACTCACCCGCCAGCCGTCTTAGCATTCCTCGCTGGACATGAGCTTGGCACACTCCAGTCTCACCTCCAGAACAAAAATCAATTGCCATATTAAGATCTTCCATTGCACCTTGCAAAAGAAAATAGATAAAAAAATGATTTCATTTAAAAGGAATAACCTACATATTTAAAAGTTTTAACAGGATAGTTTTTTAAGACATGTTATAAAAAAAAAACTATACCGATGTTAGCAATTACTGGAGAAGTGGTGACCCCATAATAAGCCCCACTTTTTTGCCTGTTACTTACTAACTGGACATTTTATCTGCACACGAAACGCAGGAAGGTTTTCACTGAAAGGTTAATAGAGTTTTTAATGCATTCAATGTCAAAGGATGTTATTTTTTTTGTTATTTCTGTCTGAATTTCTGGGATGAGGAGTTATCATTATATACACTATTTATATTCGATATGTTGCTCTCATTTTTGTTGTTGTTATCACAGCGTTTCGTCGTTGTGCCCTCCGGCCTTCTTTAGGTGTATATCGATCTGGGTAACCTCCGATAAACCCTTGACGTAAGGTAGACAGGCAATCGGAATATACAACATCAGGACAATATTTAGAAGCAGTTCCACTCTATGGAGAAATCTCTGCCGATTAAAGCCTAACATGGGTGACATCATGACTAAGAATTGCGTGTACTCGATTCCTTACAGTTGTGACAGAGAATATAAAAGTGAAACAATCCGCCCCCTAAAAGTAAGACTGGAGGAACATCGAAAAGCCGCAGTGAGGGGCCGAAACAATGAAATCGGGCAGGGCTGATCATGTATGAAGGAAAAGGTGTAGTTATCACCCTCTGTGGAATGAAGTGAATATACTGAACAAGGAAGAACACTGGAGAGGCGTTTGAAAGAATCAGCGCATATGCTGGGCCAGCGTTTCTCAACTTTTTACCCCTGTGGCACCCTTGAAATAGTTTTCATGCTTTAGGGAACCCCAGTATAAAAATTATTATATACCATTATTAATATCTATCTCTTTTATATTTTTATCGAATTCACGTGGTAAACATAATACATGGACACTGTGGTTGCGTTCTGTATTTGAGGGAATCACTCAGTGATACACGTCTCCACCACGTCCAGGCTCTGTCCACTAACCATTGAACGCGGTTTCACACTGGCGCCATACAGATATCGCTAAATGCATTCCTTATATAATTTTAAATAGTATAAATGATTGGGGCTTTTATTATAATAACCAAGGATTTTCCAACAATATTCTGTACGTGTATAGTAAAATTACGAATATAAAATGAAACAAAGATTACTGAAATATACATTAGCCTATTGATCACGGAACACCTAGCGACCTCTTGAGGAACCCTTGGGTTTCGGGGAACACCGGTTGAGAAACATTGTGCTAGGCTATTACGTATATCTGTAGTAGGCTTAGCATAGACATCAATATAAAATGGGAGCCGCTAATAAAGAAAGAAAGAAAGAAATACAAATGATAGCATGTCTTCAACCACATATACAATAAAAACATGACCGACAGCAGCAACAGTTGCAACCTAATCACCAATAAGGTTAGGTTTAAAGCTCCAATTTCATATGAGACAATGGCCTAGTGCATTAATGCTTTGGTTTGTGAATTTGTTGTCATAGTGATTGTGAATTCAATCCCTGGACCGGACAGTTTCTTGTTAACCAAGATGGAATATCCCTAAACTGGGTCAGTGGAATGAAAACAATCTATCTCTATAGATTAAAGAACGACTTCCTTTCAAACTTCTTTGAAGGTGCCATGAATTGTCAGACACCTGAAGAAAGTTGCAAGCCTATCACTATTTCCATGGTAAATATTCTGATAAGCTTCTTTCCACTAACCTAGACCTTTGCAGCTAGGACTCACCATACTACATCCAAATATTTTCCACAGTATTCCATTTGTAAGGAAGACGTTCCACTCAGCTTTCACTGGAGATATGCTACTTTTTGGAACACATTTCTGCGTAGGCATTTCCTTGAAATCTAGTCTTAAGCTTTTCAAGTCAAAGGCTAATCATTATCTATCCTCCTTATCTTCATAATCTTCACTTTCTTCTACCCCCCCCCTCTTGGGTTCATATCACATAGCTCATTCAGTAAAACTCTACCATGCAGGTTTTTATTAGTTGAACTTTAGTATAAAAGATATTTTACCTTTTGTGTCTCCTTTTAGTCGAAGTGCTTGTGCCCGGTTGTTGTACCCAGAGGCTCGTGAAGGGGCCAGGTCGATCGCACGGCCTAACATTTCAATTGCAACAGATAAGTTGCCATTCTCTGCTTCTTTGACAGCACCAATCTCCAGAGCAATGGCCTCTTCTTCGTGGACATTAACATTCTCAATCACTACAGTCCAAGAAACAGAAAAGGAAAAACAGAAAATAATGATAAAAAAAAAATAACATCACATATGCATAGGCAATACTTGGAATAGGCCATATAGTAACATGGGCTGTTTTGTTATTCCTACATGTTTTAAAGTACTCGTAATTCCAAGTAGGTAACTTGTTTCTTTTGCTCCCTCACACTACTCTCCTTACTCAGTGAGGGTGGGTAGCACGCGGTGTGTCGCAGTTGTAGCTCAGTTGTTGTGGAAGGCAGATGCCAGCGGACTATCCATTTTCGGAAATCCGAGTTGACTAACGTAGGGTTAAAGACTTTTAATAATATTTTTTTACTCTTTCAAGAGTGATTTAGACCGGGGGGGGGGGGGGGTCGGCAACCTGTAATGAGTTGGTCGGTCAACTTGAAACCCCCAAAGCGAGTGGAGGTGGGCAGGCGCGTGAACTGTGATTGGTAGCTGGCTTGTTGGTGTTTTGCATAGGTGAGTTACCAAGCTCTATGTAAAGGGCTGGAATGAGAAGGAGGGCAGTTCTTTTCAGTCTCAGAAGTGGAGACTGTGTCCGTCGCTACGACAGCAGGAGAGAAAGAGACGAAATCATTCATTTTTTCGTGACACATTCCAACACACGTGGCACGACAAACAATTTCCAATGGCACACAGCCGTAAATGACATCACGAAGTTCAAACCAATAACTACTACAACACAAAGAAGATATTTTTAGCTGTTTCAAAACTGATCACTCGTTGGACTTCCATTAATAATAAAAACTTTAAAAAAAAAACTTATAAAAACAGTTATTTCTATTAATGTGGTTTACATATTATTGTATATATTACTATATAAAATATATTGTAGAACAGGTACATTAACCTTATATAAAAATACGTATGCTGTTGGCACATTGAATGATTTTATATCCCTAAAGTTGGCACATAGGAAATGGTTGACGATACCCGAGTGATATGTCCCGGAAAGGGATATATTTGAACCAAGTAGAATACGGTAGTAGTAATCGACTGGTACGCGTCGGAGTCGCAGGTAAGAAATGTAGATCAATGGCGTAGTTCAATAGGCGTCGTTATAGACTTAGCTCTCAGGCTCTTTGACTCTCCTACACGTCCGTCGGTATTTATGACGGACACCAGCCAATCATATTCCAGTGAGGGGGAACACAGGTGCTCGCATATTCCATTATATCACTGAATTAGACCATTTGTAGTGATTATATGACTATTAACAGGTGGCTTTATATAAGTGATATATGACAGCTATCCTGCTGCCAACATAAAGAGAATTAGAAGTGACAGACAGACACTGAGAAGAATTTGACGTAAAATGAAATTGCGATTCATCAGCAGGGCTCAAAAAACAGAGCAATAAAATTGGAACGAAAAAGAAATAGTTATTTAAAATGAACATCAGACTAATTTATCACCATTTTTACGATCGCCGAGTATGTATTGAAGATAGAAAGAGAATTATTCATTCATAATGAGTATGTGTCTAATGGACATAATTATAAATTTCCGCACTTTTGAAGTAAGGCTGTAAAGAATCTGGTGTCGGCAACTTGGTTACTAATGAAAAGGACACTGTAGCAGGTTGAATGTGTTACTTCAGTGGATAAAAATCGTCAGTTTTTATAGCATTTATTTTGGGATATCCAAAAGACTTGCCATTCTAACGGGAGAGACTTGGAAGAAAGGTATATTCTCTCATTTTCATTTCCCCTATTATGGGCATTATTATATCCGTGACATAATAAAACTGTATTTCACGGACGGAACGGAATGGTTGAAAGGAAACAGAATGGCAAACATGCTTTATTTTCAGAGAGACGTTTATACCACTAAGACATACACAAAACTACATATACATATATACATGTTCCCCACGCGAGAATAATATATCATATTGTTATGATGTTTATTTGGGGTTAGTAGAGACAAACGCCAAATAACACGTAACAATAAAAAGGGTTTTAATAGGTTGGTAAATAGGTACAGAAATCGCCTGAGTAGTCAATAACTAGCTCAGCCAAGAACTTCTCTGACTCTGTCTGTCTTTTGACATGCCACTATTTAACGTCTTTGTTTGTAGACAAGTTCATCTTCAAGAGGGGTGGTAGGTTTCTAACACAACACATATATATCTACACAGCGAGCAGAGTGTAAGATGAAACAAAAAAGGTCTTACTTATAATATGGATATTCTTCTGGGTTTCGGGAGAAGCCATGTTTAGGACTCCAAATTAAAGCGGGTCGGATTCATCTACTATATCCCAGGCGAGGACATATTCCACCAAGGGAAACGGCTAGTCTTGGGTTTTCCAAAATTGAGGACTGCGAGTCGGAGTTCCTTTCTACATCTGGGAAAGATATATTCCCAAAAGGAAACGGCACCATGGACTTGTAAGCTGTATCATTTTCAGGAGGAGGCTGATTAGCCTCAGACCGGACCGCGTGTTCTACGACAATAAGATATCCGCAGAAATTCCCTTATCGCATCGTTAAAAATTTGAACTTAACAACTTTAACAAAATATTTAAATAACAATCATACATATGAATGCTGGTCGTTATTTTAAGAAGTAAGGGGGTACAAATGAAAAGATTTGAAATTGACGTCTTTTTTCTATTTCACTGCAACATATGTTAAACGCTTCTATCTTCTCTTTCTTTCTTTTCATTTTTCACTGAAACCAAGTAGTTTTCCCCTCTTTCCAAGCGATCAAAACGGGATAGTCCATTACTTATGAGGTATTGGCAAGAGAGGTTAAACTCTTATATCTTCCCTTCTTTCTTTCTTTCTTTCTTTCTTTCTTTCTTTCTTTCTTTCTTTCTTTCTGCAGTGTTGGCAGGACATAGTGGTCGTGCGAACTAACGAAGGCAAGGGCAAGTACAATTATAATAGGATAGTAATAGTTTCTAAGGAAAGGGTAGATGTAGATGGTAGTGTTGTACACGTTGTCTTGTTAGTAACGGATGGACAATATACGTCTATGTCGGTTTGGAATAAGACAAAAATGTGATCTGAAATGGCGATAATTAATTTATATATTCAAACAATTGAAAAATTTTGAAAGAATACAAGAGTGCACAAAGTTGTCCGTGATTGAATTAAAATTCGTAAAAAGAGATTAAAATGGCGTAAAAGTCTTTCTCAGCAAAAGAAGCGTAAACAGTGTGTATAATGTGCGACATAGAGAGCGAATACATACATAGCAGAAGAAGGAGGCAGTAAGATTTCTTATCTGTATCTCATTGGGGGTTAGCGTACCGGCAGAAGTTTAGTAGCGAAGAATGTTCTTTGATTACCGGCAAACAAAGGACCAATCATTCGAAGGCAAGAGCGGCTTTGAATTGCCAAATTTGGCTTTTTGTTCTCCATCGGTGGCCTGGGATAAGTGGTCCCAAAAAATAAGTTTGAGTCATTTGATTAGCCCATTATTTGCCCTCCTAATCACGTTTACACATTCGCCCGCACGTGGGAATAAATTCTGTGACAACAGACGTGAGCGTTGGATCATGTTTTTACTATTGACGGAAATATCTGATGAGATTTTGGAAGCACGACAGTGGTGTAAGGTGCAAACGTAAGCCCATATGAATGCAGTAAAAAAATAAGAAACGGTGAGAAAATTTGAGAGTCGGGTTTTGTTACAGAAACCCAATGAGTTGACTGTTATTGATTTGTGGGATAGCCCCCAATTGTCTACCAAAGAACTTCTGCTAATGACCGCGATCAGAAAATTGCAGTTTCAAAACACATTCATGAGTGATAAACTAAATAGAAAATGTATAAAAAGAGTGAATGAAGATTTTTGTGTAGAGATGTTCTTTTTTGTACGTAAATATGTACACAGTTCATCTGAAACATTGTTAGAAACTTGCACTTTGAGAAGATCTCTTTGTTGTTTTGGTACAATTATTAGCCATTCCTGTGTGTAGTCGAGTAAATGTCAGATATTTGTCTACTTTATGTGTCGTATTCAATGCAATATAAGATTCGCTGGTAGGTAAAAAAGGGGGAAATGACAAGTCCTATGTTTAAGGCATTCTGTGGTTAGTTCAGAAGTTCTCAACCCGGATCCATATGGACCAAGGAGATCCATATGTCACATTACTGGGGGTCTACACAAAAAACAGAAAATTGGGGGTCCACGGTAATATTTTAGTGGTCTATTGAACGATTTCACTTTGGAACGATTGTTGCAATTGAGAATTGGAATTTCTACAGTAATCTACGCCATATTAAATCTCTAAAAAAATTAGCAGAAAATGAGATCAAGAAATATAAATTAGCGTTCCTCTTCTTTTCTTTGTTTTGATTGTAAAAGCTGAATACGAACTCAGAAGGATATATAGTGTACATAAATCCTCCAAATAATTTAGTTGTTAAATACAAGTTTATTTTCATTAAATTAGTTTTATTTAAAAATAAAACATATACATTTACTATTTCTATAATTCAATTCCAAAACATCTATTTGTAAAAAATAAAATAAACTTTTTCTTTTTCGAATGGTTATGGAAGTCCATGAAAAAAACAATTAATGGTAAATGTAGTTCATAGCTAAAAAATTGTTGGGAACTACTGGGTAAGAGTGTGTGTGTGTGTGTGTGTGTGTGTGTGAGAGAGAGAGAGAGAGACAGAAAGAGAGAAAGAAAGAGAGAGAAAGAGGGAAAGAAAGAGAGGAGAGAGAAAAAGAAAGAGAAACAAACAGAGAGAGAGAGAGAGAGAGAGAGAGAGAGAGAGTGAATTCACTACATTTTTGGGGGACTTTATTCTGATTTTTTTCAAACTATTTATTTTTTTAAAATTTTCGCCCTTACATAGTGCTTTTGACAACGCCAACTAGTGGTCGTTAGAAGAGGTTTGTTGACGGGCAAGTGTGGCATATCGTCTATTTCCTATTTAGTGTTACTCAGTTATGGCTCGCCTCGTTTCCACCGAGTCCAAATACACATTTCCCGATCCAGGGATTGAACTCACAATTACA